CAGAATTCCCCAGCCGGGGAATTCTGGGAGTTGAAGTCCCCTCGTCTTAAAGCTGCCAAGTTTGAAAAACACTAGACTTTTTGATTTTAGGAATGTACAAAGTTTGTTAATTCTAACAGTGTTTTTTTTAATGCCTTAGTTGTATGATTGCAGCCCGACAGCTTAATTTAGGGTTGAGTGTATTGTGCAAACCTAGACAATGAGTTCATTCACAAGCAAGGTTAAGTATGTTGTGCCAACACAATCTTTGAGGAGCAGAGGAAGTTCCTTCTCCGTTAGAGTTCTTGGAGGGGTATTCCCAGGCACTGTAGACGCTCCTCAACTTAATTTTCACAAGACGTCATTGTTTCTTTGTGTAAATGTTCCCCAGTTTAATCTTTGGCATCTCCAGGTAAGGCTGGGAAGATGTTCTGATTAAAATCCTGGTCAGCTGTCGCCAGCTAGAATGTCTTCCTGCTGATGTTGGTTGTCGGCCACTAATAACCACTGACACATGCCATCGTTTTTGGGTGGAAAAAAGCCTTCATTTAACTCTCCCCTCGAACGTTGTGTGAATATAGGGCTGGTCTTTCTGCCCACCTTGCAAATACTTTTCCAGGGCAGGCCCCTTCCCGGGCAATCCCCCCCCCCCCCGAGGAAGGATTTCCAGGTGGGGTAAAGGCCCAGCCGCTGCATTCACATGTTAAGCTAAGAGTTAACCTGGGTTGGCTTTAATGTGGCTTGGGGAGTAGTGCGAACCCAGGATGTTTGCTCCATTCATAGGGCAGCGGCTTGTTGCATCACGCGGGTGACCAGCCACCCCGTTCCACAATCCACACGTGATCTCTGGCGACTTGCTTAGCTGTGACTCCTCCTGGTGACGGCTTTTTTCGTCCTGCACTCCCAGATCTTTAATCTGATGCTCCGTCACCTGCTTCCAGCTCCCGTTTTTCCTTCCCTGCCTACTCTCCGTGAGCATCAGAGGCCCCCAAATCGTCTTTTTTCTCCAGCCTACCTGCTCCTTCCATGTGGCCTTATCCCGACTATTTTGGTAAAACGGAGCTGAGCCTTTTGGCGCACACTCACAGCCGTGACAAAAGCGTCCCCTTGCCGGGCAGCTGAGCATTGCTTTGCAATCTGATCCTTCCCCGGCTGCCTTCTTGGCAATTCATGTTGCGCAAATGTACTTGTAAATTGAAGAAGAGAGGGAAATTAACCTAGCTTAACCTCCGATTTTTATAGTTCTCCCCAGAGGCCAGGAGTACCAAGTCCGGGAGCAAGTTGAATGACATTTTATGCAAGCGTAACAAATATAATTTAATCCTGCGGTTTTAATGCTCGCAGCTATTGGTGCATTCTGATGGAAGGAAATGAGGTGGACAGACACCCGGTTATATCTGGGCTTCGTTTTGTTTTCTTTCATTAGCTGGTCCCATCATCCAGGATGAGTTCATAAAATCCAAAAACAGCGCAGGATCCTACAGCAGTTAAGAGAACAGAAATTCTGCTGGAGCATTTGGCCAGCTCTTACCCTTTGAGCAATGGCAGGATTTAATCTAACTCTGCTGTATCGACTGGTCGTCTTCTCTGGCTTATAAGCCAGTGGGAAGAACTAACTTTCCTTTATGTATTTATTTCTATTATCCGACACCGGCGTAAGACTTTGGGGGATAATGAATAAACGGCGTGTGCAGTTAAAAGACATCCTGGTCCCTCCTGCAAAACAGAGTTGTTCTCCTGTTGACAGCTTCATAGCAGAAGGAAATTTGGAGCAGGTTGGATCAAGAGGAAGGAGAGCAAACGAGGGGGCTCGGTCAAATTTGGAACAGTACGAGACCATTGGCACAGAGCAGTTTCTGTCTCCTGGGCTCGGGCTCACCCATTCACCCATTTCAGTGGCTCAGCCTTGAATTTAGCACGGAGTGAAGACAATGCCCCTTCACCAGAAGATGAATTTATTATTTATTAATTTATTATTTATTTATTTGTTGAATTTTTCAACCGCCCGTCTCCCCCCAATAGGGGAACTCTGGGCGATTCACAACAAACATTAAAAACATAAAATATATAAATAAATAAAACCTTAATTTAAAACATTACTAAAAAGAAGAAGGAGAGACCAAGAGGATGGAAAAATCTGAGGCTGAAGGCCTCTATGGGGCTAGCCATTCCTGTGTTTGGGAGTTTGGAGAAGGACCCACTGGAAAGAATTTCCGTAAAGATAGGAAATAACTCGGCAAAGAAAAGAGAAGATAAAACAAAATGTGTTTTCTTTTTTAAGACTTATTATTATTGTTAAATTGCCCAATAGCTGAAGCTATCAAGAATGTTTACAATAAAGCCTACTAAAAAAAGATGCCATCTGAGTTCAAAAACATGCCATCAAGTCAGATCAAATGCAGGCGGCAGCAAGGCGGTCATTCAGAATCTGAAGCCATGCAAAGGAACAATAAAAACACAACGAAAAACCAGTCCAAAAGCCTGGGCAGACCTTCACCTGGCATTGAAATGGTGCTAGGGTGGGTGCCAGGCGAGCCTCTCTGGGGAGGGAATTCCAGCAATGAGGTGCCACCTTGTAGAGACTCACCTCCTTGGGGAGGAGAGGCAGCTGGGGCAGGACTCATTAGATGATCTTAAGATCCATGTAGGTACATGGGGGAGATGGTGGTCTTTCAGGGAAGCTGGTCCCAAGCTGTTTAGGGCTTTAATGGCACTTTGAATTGGGTCCTGGAAGGGACCAGCAGCCAGCGTGGACGGCACCGCCTTGGGTTGTCTTTTGGACACATCCATCTTAATGGATGTCCTTAGAAGGCATTGTGTGTTCTAGAGCAGTGTTCCTCAACCTCAGCCACTTTAAGGTGTGTGGACTTCAACATGGCTGGCTGGGGAATTCTGGGAGTTGAAGTCCACACACCTTAAAGTGGCTGAGGTTGAGGAACATTCTTCTAGAACCCAATTGAGGGCTTCTTATTAGTGCTCAAGTCTCAAATACATTTTTTTTTTTTGCAGACCCAGGGCACCGGGATTTCCGGCGGGTCTCCAGGGGCCACGCCCACAGTGTCCACTCCGGTCACCGGACACAAACGCATGGTCATTCCAAACCCGCCCCCTTTGACCGCCACCAAAAAGTCAGCC